TCTGCCACTCCATTGGCACCGCCCCCGATCGCCACGCGATGTTGCAGAGACGTGTCAGCCAAGACAGTCCTACAACATCCAGAGACTTTATATAGTCAGGACGGATCTCATCCACTCCCGGCGCCTTGCCACCATGGAGGCTGCCAACCACCTTGGTGACCTCGGCCAGGGAGATGGAAGTATCCGCCCCAACATCCTCAGCCTCTGCCTCCTGGACGGAGGACGTGACGGGGGGATTGAGGAGAACCTCGAAGTATTCCTTCCACCGCCCGACAATATCCCCAGTCGAGGTCAGCAGCTCTCCACCCGCACCGTACACGGTGTTGGCAAAGAACTGTTTCCCCCTCCTGAGGCGCCGGACGGTTTGCCAGAACCTCTTCGAGGCCGACCGATAGTCATGCTCCATGGACTCTCCGAACTCCTCCCAGTCCCGGGTTTTTGCCTCTGCAACAGCCCGGGCCGCGGCACGTTTGGCCTGCCGGTACTGGACAGCTGCCTCAGGAGTCCCACGAACCAAAAAAAAAAAAAAATAACAATTGTAAACCGCTTTGTGACTCTGGTCTGTGAAAGGCGGTATATAAATAAATAAAAATTACTTACTTACTTACTTACTTACATCATTGCTCGATAGGACTCCTTCTTCAGCCTGACGGCATCCCTTACTGCCGGTGTCCACCACCGGGTTCGGGGATTGCCGCCGGGACCAGCACCAGAGACCTTGCGACCACAGCTACGAGCCGCCGCATTGGCAATAGAGGAAGAGAACATGGTCCACTCGGACTCGATGTCCCCCTCCTCTCCCGGGACCTGGGAGAAGCTCTCCCGGAGGCGTGAGTTGAAAGTCCGTCTGACAGGGGGCTCAGCAAGACGTTCCCAGCAAACCCTCACTACACGCTTGGGCCTGCCAGGTCTGACCGGCCTCCTGCCTTGCCAGCGGATCCAACTCACGAGCAGGTGATGATCGGTTGACAGCTCCGCCCCTCTCTTCACCCGAGTGTCCGAGACACGCGGTCGAAGGTCAGATGATACGACAACAAAGTCGATCATCGACCTCCGGCCTAGGGTGTCCTGGTGCCACGTGCACTGATGGAGACCCTTGTGCTCGAACATGGTGTTCGTGATGGACAGGCCGTGACTGGCACAGAAGTCCAACAACTGAACACCGCTCGGGTTCAGATCAGGGGGGCCGTTCTTCCCGATCACCCCTCTCCAAGTGTCACTGGCATTTCCCACATGGGCGTTGAAGTCCCCCAGGAGAATAACGGAGTCCCCGGGCGGTGCACTGTCCAGTACCCCTCCCAAGGACTCCAAGAAGGCCGGGTACTCTGCACTACCGTTAGGCCCGTAGGCCGTCACAACAGTGAGAGACTTGTCCCCCACCTGGAGGCGGAGGGACGCGACCCTCTCATTCACCGGGGAGAACTCCAACACGTGGCGGCTGAGATGGGGGGCAATGATTATGGCCACCCCAGCTCGCCGCCCCTCCCCGCGGGAAACACCAGAAAAGTGGAGCGTCCAACCCCTCTCAAGGAGTTGGGTTCCAGAGCCCAAGCTGTGTGTGGAGGTGAGGCCGACTATCTCTGTCGGTATCGCTCAACCTCCCCCACAAGCTCGGGCTCCTTCCCCCCCAGAGAGGTGACGTTCCACGTCCCAAGAGCCAGATGTTGGGTGTGTGGACTGGGTCGTCGAGGTCTCCGCCTTCGACTGCTACCCAGTCCTCGCTGCACCTCGCCACCACGGACCCCTCTGCAGGTGGTGGGCCCACAGGAGGGACTGCCCACGTCATCCCTTCGGGCTGAGCCCGGCCGGGCCCTGTGGGCTAAGGCCCGGCCACCAGGCGCTCGCTTGCGAGCCCCGACCCCAGGCCTGGCTCCAGGGTGAGGCCCCGGCTGCGCCATGCCGGGCGACGTCACGGTTTTCATTGTCGTGCTGTCCATGGTTGGCTTCGGACTGCGCTTCGTCTGACTCGTCACTTGAGACCTGTCTGCCATGGGAGGCCCTACCAGGGGCATGAAGCCCCAGACAGCATAGCTCCCAGGATCATCCGAGTGCTCAAATTCCCCCACCACGTTAAGGTGGCAGTCCAAGGGGTTGATGTTTCAGTTTATTTTTAAAGTTATTCAAACAGAGCTCTGCATTGGTTTTACATTTAAAGATAACAATTTTACCCATCAGGATGATTACATTCTCTACATTCGTTGAGCTGCTGTCCAAGATTCCCAACATTATATTCATGGGATTGATGTCAATCTCGATCCCTAATTCACACAACCATCTTTGGACCATCGTCCAGAATAATGAAACATATGGGCAAAAATAAAATAGATGCATTAGGTCTTCCTCCTCCTCTTCACAGAATCTACACATGGGGCTTTTAATGATCTTGCATAAATTCAGGTGTTTTCTTGTTGCTGTAATTTTATAGAATAGCTTTAATTGATCTATGGCGGTTTTGATTATATTTTTTGGAAAAAAAAATTCCATAAAACAGGACAATTAAATTCATCTTCCCATGCAGTGCAGATTCTGTGAGGGTAGAAGGCTGTTCCAGACATACACATTATACTCGTACATATGTTTGTTTATCTTGTCCATTAAGAATTTGTTGCATCTCACTCGTGGCATACATACTAATAATTTGTCCTTATCTTTCAGTGTTCTTTTCCATTTCAATGGGATTGCTGACAGCACCTGATTGTACTTGTATGGGTCCAAACAATATCCATAGTTTGTATAAAAATTAGAATAAGACAAAAAGTTTCCGGATATGTCCATTAGATCATTGATAAACATAACTCATGCTATGTTTATTCAAACATTATTCAAACATGATTCCCATAGAAAAGGTCTGCCTTCGATTAGAACATTAGAGTTCATCCAAAGCAATTGATTTTGTATCTCCTGAAAACCGTCTGGAGGATGATATTGAAAGCTCAGGCATGCCTTGAATGCATCTTTAAAGAATGTGGAGATATTTATCAGTTCAACATTCATAATTTGGTTAATATGATTGGCGTTAATCTGGAAAAATGGAAATAATTTACTCTGAAAAATTGGGTATGCTTTAGTTAGCATTTGACTAGATATTAGGGTTGTGATACAATTTATGAATCCAGGAGGCTTTCAGAGATTCATTCATGATTTCTAGATTTTTTAAGTTTAATCCACCATTTTCAGGCGAGTTGTACATATATTGTCTTTTAATTTTGTCTGGCTTATTATTCCATATAAATTAAAACAAAATGTGTTCAAAACATTTAAACAATGATCTGTCCGGTGAGGGAAGTGTTTGCAATAAATATACCATCTGAGGGATTACAAGACAATTTATTAATGTTACTTTTCCCATCATCGTTAAATGTGTTCCCCTCCATGGCAGTAACAGACTATCAACCTTTTTCATTCTCTTATCAATGTTAAGCCTTATGGTTTCTTCAGTTTTACTACAAACATGAATTCCTAGAATCTTTACATCGCTATTAGTCCATTTCACTGGTACTGAACATTTGATCTCAAAATCTGAACCTGAAATGTTTCCTAATCTCATAATTGCACACTTTCCAAAGTTCGGTTTTAGGCCAGACATATTTGCAATCATCTGCATACATTGTTAGTTTGATATTATTTAGTTGCAAACCTTTAATTAAAGTATTATTTCTAACTCTGATGGAAAGTTAGAAAAGTTACAACAAGGTATTGCATGACTATTTTGGTGGAGCTGAAGCTGGATGACACTGTGGAGGTGCCTCTCTGCTCCAAACACGATCAAATATCTCCAAGACTCTCTCCTTACAGCAGCGGGTGATGTCACTGCATTATGTCGTGTACAAAGCTGCAGTCTCAGGCCACAGTACTGAAGTACACAGGTGGTGTGCGTCAGTGCTGCTGGGAACTGCAGTCTCACATTCTGCAGACAAAGACTCCTGCAGCAGCTGTGAGGGAGTACCCAACATGAGGACTATGGCCAGGGTACAGACTCGGCATGCTGGGATATCACATGCAGATTTTGTTTATCGCAGTAAAACTATGATCGCACCTCAATCGGTTTCCATTTTGTTTTTGCTCGAGATTCAACAAGCTAATAATGAAGAATGTTTAAGTCTAGACAGGTGCATGCTGGGAACACCATTGTGGTTTAAACTGCAAATGGCAAATATACTGAATCTAATATGAAGTTGAGAATCATCTTTATAAATCCGTTTAAGCTGAGGTACCTCACTTTCAACCTAAAATAAATCGCATATAAAAACAAATCATATAGTGCAACAATTTTATTCTATTACTAGTTTTAGTTTTAGTCTAGTTTCCCCACCCACACTTGCTGATAGTGAAAAATGTAAGACAAAACAACAGAAATACCTGAATAAATGCAGTGTGCTTGTGGTGCAGACGGCTCCTCGGATGGCACTTCTTTGGTCTGCTGTGTGTTTGTATGTGTGTGCGTGTCTGTGTATATGTATGTAAATGTGTGTGTTATGGGGTGGGTCTGTGGGGTGGTCAGGTTAACGAGTCATGGGAAATAAAAAGTGATTGACTGAAGTGTTGCATTTATTTTTTTAGGTATTTGGCCTCTTGTTTTTTCTTTCCTTTTTAATTAATTTGATCGGTAATTAATTTGATAGTCAACATGTGACTCATTCATAGCCAAGGCTTAGTTGCGATACTAATTTTGAGAGTAGTCCTTCATCAACCTTTCCATATCCGCTTTACACCGTATCTACCATCTGTCTTAAGACTTGATTAGTAGAGAGGCTTTAAGGTAATTATACATTATTTTGAATGTGTTTGGAGTTTTATAAGATCGTGACATTCATTTTGTTTGCATACACACTCAGCGTAATCAAACGGATGCCATATTTCTTGTCACAACACTTCAATCTTGCTCCACCACCACTCAATCAGATTAAGAGCATGTTGTTGTTTTGCACCAGCGCCAGTGTAAATACAGACTTGTAAACGGGTGCTGTTCTTAATTAACACTTTGATTGCACTGCGCTCCAATGTGGGTTGGTGGGTTTGAGGTTCTCTTGCAGCACGGAGCCATGTGCAGCTGGATTCGGCTCCAGTCGGGGTCAGACCTGGGCTCGTACTTATGCTAAGTGCTCTATTGTTTGGGACAAATGTTTGAGGGGCAGCTTGTCCAAATGTCTACTTCCACTGTTCAATTAATGTGCATAAGAAAAGAGCAAGCCGTGCAATCATTCAAACATCTACGTGCCCCTGTCTCCATATTAAAGGCAATTATGCACATTATTCTATCAAGTTTGAGCGGCTCCAATGGCCTCTGTCTGTAAAGAGTTATGAATGAGTTGTGTTGGATTGGAGGAGCAGTTGAAGACGCCACACACACAAACCAAACACTCACAAACCATCTATAACTTCTAAGACATAAAGAATACTGGAAATAAAGAATACTGCCAAAATTGGCCCTGACCTGGTTCCAGTTAAGACCAAGACCAAAAATGGGAACCAGTTCTGGAGAAATAGGCTCCATTATCAGCCCGACTTGGCCCTAGTCTATTTTCCACCCCTGCTTGACTTGTACCAGGTACTGAAGAAGATGATATAATCTGGGATCGCGTCTTTCATTCAGACAGAAGACATGTTTCATTGTCGATGGTAGAGACAGTACGAACAAAGCACACGAACACAGATACAATAGAATGCAAGTGTATTATACAGAGCGGAGGCATGGAGTCCTCCAATCAGCAGCTGCCACGGTGCCATGTAGCTTGGCCTTCAGATAGATAAAACAAGGGAAAAGTACAGGCTTCTGCACAGAATGATGAGTTTAACTTTAACAAAAGTTGCTTAAAAGTGTTATGAAATCTCACAGTACTTTTTGGGTAGGTTGGGTATATATCATTTCCATTTCCACGTGCCTCATTCTACTCTACTCGGCTCTACTCCAGCCCGATTAGGAGCATTTCTACCTCCCCTTTTTAACCAGCATCAGGTAGTTTTGTTGTACCTGCTTGGCCCTTATTCTATCCAGTCCGATCTGGTACTGAAGTATTCGAACTGACAGGGATTGGTCAGAGTGCTGCTGTAAGACATAGTTACCAAAGGATTTCCCTGGATACTGGTTTGTTGCGGGTAGGTTGCTAGGAAACGGGACCAGATCCTAAAGTGTAATGGAAACGCAACCAGGCAGAAAGCTAAGTAGGGATGGTGGAAACAGGGCTTTTGATACAAATAGGGAATGATAGGGGCTACATAGCAGATTGAAAGATTAGTATGGCATAGTAAGTTGCTCTCACAGACAGAACCCCAGTCTCCACCATTACGCTCACATCTGCAGCACGGAACTGTGTGGGTGTGCTTGGATATTGTGCTAAATGAGTCTGTTTCTAGAAGCACAGCAGCTTTCAGTTTTATTTGAAAGATCCCTCATGGGCTATTGAGTTTATGAGTTTTTATTGGTAAAAAGCATTTTATACAATAATGGCTCCACTATGTACAGTGGATCTCGGGGATGAGAATGAATTGCAATTTTGATTGTATTGTTGCATTGGTACTGACGTAGAAAGGGAGGTCATGTTTTGTGAGACTTGCAAGTAGGTTAAAAGGGCACTAACGTTATTAAAAACTTTTTCTTTTCTGATAAAACACATTAAAAGGATGTATTTCCCACCTTTGCAATGTGTTTTTGTGTTATAGATAAGTAATAAATCAATAAAATAACGTTTTAATATCAACCACAGTCACACGTTCAGTATAAGACTTTAGAACCACAGACACACGTTCAGTATACGACTTTAGAACCACAGACACACGTTCAGTATAAGACTTTAGAACCACAGACACACGTTCAGTATAAGACTTTAGAACCACACACACACGTTCAGTATAAGACTTTAGAACCACAGACACACGTTCAGTATAAGACTTTAGAACCACACACACACGTTCAGTATAAGACTTTAGAACCACAGACACACGTTCAGTATAAGACTTTAGAACCACACACACACGTTCAGTATAAGACTTTAGAACCACAGACACACGTTCAGAATAAGACTTTAGAACCACAGACACACGTTCAGAATAAGACTTTAGAACCACAGACACACGCTCAGTATAAGACTTTAGAACCACAGACACATGTTCAGAATAAGACTTTAGAACCGCAGACACACGTTCAGAATAAGACTTTAGAACCACAGACACACGTTCAGAATAAGACTTTAGAACCACAGACACACGTTCAGAATAAGACTTTAGAACCGCAGACACACGTTCAGAATAAGACTTTAGAACCGCAGACACACGTTCAGAATAAGACTTTAGAACCGCAGACACACGCTCAGTATAAGACCATAACGCTACATGTTTGCATTTGATTGAAGACACTCACCATTTCTCTCAAACTCAACATCTGTAGCTGGGACATAGAGTTGAGGCTTCTCTCTCTCGGAGTTGCGGGTATTGACGTGTTAGCTGGTGTTAGCTTGTTAGCTGGTGTTAGCGTGTTAACTGATGTCCGTAAAAATAGCGTCATTCCATCTTGTCAAACCACCTCCAGACTTTTCAGTTCTGTCACTTTTACGGCTGGGATCTTTCATTTCACGGTAGTCACTTTTACGCTTCTCAACTTGTCTCTGCACTACGATGTCCCTTATGTCCCTTCGTCCCTAGCGCTACCTTCGCTAACACTTGAGCTTTTTACAGTCACTCGGGTGCACCATCGAGCTCAAACTGATCGCATCCGCAAAGTGGGTCAAGACGGGTCGGGCGCGGTCGGACCATAGATCCAATACTCCAGCCCGTGGAAACGGCCCTAATGTTCGCAAATGTCCATTTCTTGCAGATCACTCCTCATTTGAACCTAGTCAGAGTCCTCAAAATCAGAATTTGCGTGTGTGTAATTTGACATTTGTGTCTGTATCAGAAAAATGTGTGTGTATGACCACCTTGTACGAAGAGAAGAACGAAAAAAAGCCTAAGAGCTGCGCACAGGCTCTTGTTTTACACACAAATCTCTTTTTGACACACTTCTCCCGCCAAGTAGGTTCTCTGTCAGGTTCTCTGTCAGCTGAGGTCGAGCTGACATTGAGTTCTATGGTGGAAAACTTCTGTGTAGTCCACTGAATCCAGTCTTGTTTAGTCTGCAGTACCGCGAGAATCCCCCTAGCACGTGGGTCCTTTAGCTCCAAGCTAGTAAAACCCTATCCAGACAATATAGTAGATCCATGTATCATACAGTGGTGTGAATGAAAGAATTTTGAATATAGAAAAAAAAATATCATAAACAGCTGCGGTAGTGTGTCTTGTCAAGGCAGTAGGTTTTGGTTTGCTTGCGTGTAATAACCAGCTACACCAGCACCATCTGCTGGTGTATTGCTAGAACTACCACATTACACTTACGAATCTCTTTTGAGACACGCTTGGCGGCAGAAGTGTGTCAAAAAGAGATTTGTGTGTAAAACGAGAGCCTGTGCGTAGCACTTAGGCTTTTTTCCGTTCTTCTCTTCGTATAAGGTGGTCATACACACAGACTTTTCGGGTACAGACACAAATGTCAAATTACACACACACAAATCTGTTTACACACGCACACAGTCCAAGTTACACTTGCGAATCTGCAAAGGCAGGACTACGTCAAAAGATCTGTGTGTAAAAAAAAGACTTGTATGTAGGGCGTACATTTTTTTTTTTTACACACACACAGATCTAGTTACGCACACACGAATCTTGTTACGCACACACAAATCTTTTCCCGCACACATAAATCTTTTTACGCACACATAAATCTCGATACATACATACAAATCTATTTACACACGCACAAATATTGTAATTACACACACACAAATCTGGTTACGCTCGCACAAATCTTTTTACGTACACACAAATCTGGTTACGCACACACAAATCTGGTTACGCACGCACAAATCTTTTTACGCACGCAAACATCTTTTTATGCACACACAAATATTATTGAAACAATAATAGCTCCATAAATAACAAATATCTGTTTAAAACGTACGTTACGGCTTACACTTTCGGTCTCTGCAATTTTTCCGCGAATTTCTCTTTGCATGATAATTATAGATAGAAACCGCTAAGGGTAAAACTATGTGTCAAAATGAGTTTTATTTAACACAAAAAAGACCACAATATACCAACAAAATAAGATTAGGTCCCTTTTAAAACTGAGCCGGACATTACAACAGATTCAGGAGTAGGTACTTTTCAACTTGATGTTTTGGTCTGAAGTTCAAATAAATCTTATGTGAGATTTCATAACACTTTTAAGCAACTTTTGTTAAAGTTAAACTCATCATTCTATCAATGTGCAGAAGCCAGTACTTTTCCCTTGTTTTGTCTATCTGAAGGCCAAGCTACATGGCACCGTGGCAGCTGCTGATTGGAGGTCTCCATGCCTCCGCTCTGTATAATACACTTGCATTCTATTGTTCGTGTTGTTCGTGCTGCTCTACCATCGACAATAAAACATGTCTTCTGTCAGAATTTAAGACACGATCCCAGACTTTGTCATCATCTTCACTTATCTCCTGGCGATGAGGCAGACGCCGAGGGCAGCTCTTTCCTATTGTTGTCTTGGTATAAAACCATGTGAACACTCTGAAAGTCTGGTCTTGTTGTTTTGTTCTGTATTCTGTACCACTCTGCAACTAGTTTTTCTTTCATTGTATTTAGACTTATCTGACATATTCGATCAGATATGTATATTTTTTCAATTGGATATCAGCAATAACTTCTTGTGGCAGATATACTTGGCATGATAAACATAATTATAAAGTTACATTTCTCATGAAAACTAAATACATAATTTTTACTCAAAACCTGTATAGTTTTGGTTATTATACACAGGAACTACTCCCACTGGTGTCTGTCGTGTCCCTGGGAAAAAAAACATTTAACCCTACTCTACCTGAACTCCCCCCTCCTGAAAGACCGAGGCTGTCATCACTGACGGAGCAGCCCTCCTCCCATGGACCCACCACCTGCAGGAGGATCAGGGAAGGGCTGGTGCGGTGAGAGTTGAGTGGCAGCTCGGATTGCCAGCTCCTAAACCAAAGGAATGAAAAAATGAATGAATGAATTCTACTCAGCTATCTTTTAAGATATGATACACTTTATTGATCTCAAAAAGGAGTTATGTTAAGCAAGGCATCTTAGGTACAATAAAGCTATCCTATGTACAACTAAAAACGTGACATTGGCAATGCAAAGTGTACAGTCCTAGTACCGGTCGTTAATAAGTGACTTGTTCAGTCCGACAACCAGTCACTTACTGACTTGTTGGTCATTGCGTTCAGAAAAAAAACATGTGAAAAAAGTATATTTGCTAAAACAATCACAGAAGCAGATATAACACTGCATATCTATCTTGCAGGCCATGTTCATCTCCTTCCCTTCTTTAAGATACATTGATTGACCTTATCAATCTATAATAGTGTATTAAAGTATATTGTAAGCATTGCATTTTATATTTCATATACGTCTGATTCTAAAACTCACAGACTTTCATGGACAGTGAAAAGTGAGAGTGTGACATTGATTCAAGGTTCTCCAGCCGACAGACACGGGAGATAGTGAGGTCAGAGGTGGAGGGGGACTGTCCTGGGACCTGTCTGAGTGTGTGTGGGGGAGACAGACAGGCTGGCTCTGCTGCTGTGAAGGAGGGGGGAGTCAGAGGCTTCACGGACCCCCCCAGGTTTAAGTGACGGCCGGCTGAGATAAGGGGGCAGCTTCAGGTCATGTCTTTGTCCAAACTCCAGACGCACAAGAGGAAAGCATTAGATCGGAGGCAAAAGTCAAGCACACAATCTCTACATTATTACCAATATAAAAATGGACAATGCTAACCAGCTAGCTCCATGAAGCTTAATAGGAAAGTGCTCATGGATAATGTTTTGCCCATTCAATTGCCTTGAAAAATTCAACTTCTCTTGCTCAGTAACCGTTTGTGTTCATGTATCTATTATAATAACTGACGCCCTAACAACTGACCAATCGGGTACTTTCTGTCCCTGAATTGGGTTTTGTCTGATTGGCTCTTAAGTTGCTTGGCTGTTGTCCTTAATCACATCACAAGTTTCTTTATTATTATTCATTGTCAATACATATTGTATTTTGTGAACCCTAATTTTGTTTTTATGCAACTTAAGAATTTGTGTTCTGTCACCCCTCCCTAATGTCGGAAAAAGTTAAAACATCAGTGCTTCCCTTATGCGGCATTAATTCAGACTTGGTAGACATACAAACTGCAATTTTCTCATTTCAAATCTTTCTATTATCCCAGAAATCCATTAACAACAATCAAAATAAAACGCTGGCCATTTCTGAAACACACATTTTGTCTAATATTATGTCTTATAATGAATACTTATTCATGATTCAAAATATCAATATTTCCATGTCTTTATTGACCAGCAGTGAGCAATGTAATCAAGAGAACGATTTAAAAATACAACATTTCCTTAGAAAACATGTTGCATTACATTGATGAACCGAACAGAATATTGTTTGTTTGGGAGAATGCAATAAAAGCGCGTTTTTAAAAGGCGCATAAATGTCCTTCATGCTAGAGCGCTAATTAAATATATCTGATGCTTTTGCTTCATGATGTTATTGTGAAACCCTGGGCCAAACAAACAGTGTCACATTTGGTCCATTCTGCTGTCTGTGCGATGAATGCTGATGCTTTTCTAATGCTGACGAGTTCATTAGCAACGCCGGCTGTGTTTGTACCACTGCACACAATCAAGTCTGGGATGCGGTCCAGAATGCACCTGTAGAGACACCGGGACACGCCAGAGAGAGCGTTCGTCAAACACATGGAGGTCCAGGCTGTAGCTCCGGCTCACAGAGAGGGGGGGGGGGGGGGGGGGGGGGGGGGGGCCTGGATTCGAATCCCAGTCGGAACAGGGTCTTTCTGAAGGGAGTTTGCATGTTCTCCCTGTGTCTAAAAACAACCCCACTAAAAACAAATGTTAAAACAACAAAAGTTAAAAATCCTCCAGGTCTGGTCCTGACCAAAAGCAACAACATATGGATAAGATGAGATGAGAGATAACTTTATTCATAACACATTGTTACATATGGCCTCAATAAGATCCCTGTGCAAATAGATAGGAAATCTCCAAACAGTTAAAAAGTTGAGTTAAGTAAGGTATAAAGATCAAGGCTGTAGGGTCACACAGAACAGCCATCTTCCTCACCCCCAGCAGGAGGATCCGTGAGCAGCTCATTGCCACCCCACTGACCCAGAAATGAATTTAAGGGTAGTAAATGGATGGATGGATAAGTATACCCATCCATCTATTTTCTACCCCTTAATTCATGTTAATGTTCTCAACGGGCCAGTTTTAGATCCAACTCCACCCATTTCCTCAGGTGAGTTCAGTTTTAACCTTTAGATTTGAGGAAATGGGTGGTGTCTCTTCTGCGGAGATGGATCCCCTGACACTGTTACTACGGCGACCACTGCTCCTAAAGGCGCGTTCAGACCGGATCATGTGTTGAGTCGGCACGCACTTAGGGACCGTTGAATAGAGCTGCACGCACTTGGCCGGAAAGTGAAAGGGGAGGAGCAGGAGTGGAAAATGGACGCCCACAGGAGATAAACTTTGCTCAACTTTTCCTCGGAACGTTCGTGCAGCGACCAATCAGAGGGCCGCAAAGTGGTCACGGGGACATTGGTGGTCTGAGCGAGCAGACTGAACATACTGTAAACAGCCAAAACAGGAGCTATACCAGGACTAAACCAGGACTAAACCAGGACTAAACCAGGACTAAACCAGGGTTGACAATGGGGGACTGTGTGCTTGTGAATATATGCGTTGTCATGCTCCCGTGACCGTCTGCAACTGCTTCAAGTGTGTTCGCCGAAGCGGAAATACCGTTTAATAATACAAAAAAACGTGTGGCACACCTCCGTGAACACATACTATGTTATATAAAGCCCTAGGAATGTCTGTGAGCAAAGACACACTGCAACGCTGAATATTGGAGAAGATCTATACACAAGAAGCCGCTAGCATAGCTTTGTTAGCATTAGAGCCGGCCGGCTACTTCCGGCTCGCGTCAGGACGTTCTGGTGTGAAGTCCTCTGCGTCTGAAAACTAGAGAATGCGCGTCTTGTGAGCGGGGCTTCAGCGTTTGAGCGTTTGCGGTCTGAATGCACCATAACACAGGCCCTAGTGTCAGCGGGATGGGTCATATGGAGAGGATAAGATGCCTTATGTGGATAAATAAAGTATACCTTAACCATAACCTTACATACTTCACATGGTACGGCATCATTCCCACTGCGGAAAAAACACAGCATAACAGGGTCGACCCCACATCCACAAGAATGGGCACATTGTATGTCACTCAAATCTAAGCGTGGTATTAGAACCGTTGCCTGTAATAAGAGCATTGGCCTTTGAGCCAGAAGGTCGTGGGTTCGAGCCCACCTCAAGACTTTCACCATCGACTCCCACTGTCTGCTGTCGTTGTGTCCTTGGTAAGACACTTAACCTCTGGGAACATCAGCCACAGTGGGGCGGCTGCGGCTGTAAAGTGCCAAACTGCCGTTGTGTCCTTAGGCAAGACACTTCACCCCCATTGCCCAGAATGAGTCTGGTGTGTGTGTGTGAATGTTTGGTGGTGGTCGGAGGGGTCGATGGCACAGACTGGTTGCCTCACTTCTGTCGGTGTGCCCCAGGGCAGCTGTGGCTACAGTAGTAGTTTATCACCACCGTGTTTGGAATGAAAGAATAATGAAACATGTGAAGTGTCTTTGAGTGTCCAAAAGAGCGCTATATAAAACCGATGCATTATTATTATTATCATTATTATTATCACGGGGGAACAGGAGTAAACATACATTAGACAAGTGCTATACAAGTTTATTTGTATCGTACAGTTCATACACAAGGGAACTCAAAGTGCTTAACAAAACAAGATAGCAACAATCACACAAGGCATTTAAATCATTAATAATCACGGTACATGAAAAAGAGTTTGACAGGTCTGCCCTAGAATGTATCTAGAGCTATACAAAAATACATTGAACTGAATAGAAATGAAATGTAAATTAAACAGGATTTGCGCTGATACTTTTGGAAAGTACATGAAATGGTAATCACAAAAACACTAGCCACCCCGGCTTTAACCAACATGAGCAGTGATTGAAATGTTAGCGTTGTATTTAGAACGTCCTAATTCTAGGACAATAGTGTTAATAAGTCTTTATCCAACATGTGAGCAGCAGTGGCTCAGTGCTCCTTGTAGAAGTATAATAGGATTAGACCTAAGTGCTTTGTATTGACCACTCTAAACTTCGTCTACTTAAGCTGCATTGACTTCTGTGGCACCGGAGCCGTCTGAAGTTCAAGGGATGGCTTTGGATCATTTCTTTAGATTACACCATTGTCCACTTCCACAGTAAACCATAAACACTTGATATCAACATTTGTCACAGTTAAAGAGGCAGTCCGGGATTTATCCAGACGCAATTTTTTAAAATACTATGGGGAAACAAAAGTAGTCAAGTTATCATGTGCTGTCAAACAGGAATGGATATGACCAGATGCCTGTAGCCTCAAAAAATAAATCATAAATATTTTGGAGCGGACCGATAGAAAGAAACCAATGGTATGCGTTTAACCCCAGACGGTGGGGAGGCGTTGGGTACGACGGCTAGATGCATGCAGCAAATGCATGAGATTCACCGAACATCCTCGCTCCACGCATATGCCGCAACCAATCAGAGAGCAGCAAAGTGGTCACGGGGACATATGCTGGAAGATGAAGACACTCCAAAACAACCAAAACATGAGCTAAACCAGGATTTAACCAGGGCTGACAAATAGGGACGCAGTGCCTGTGAACCCATGTCTTCACATGGATTTATACTGTGACTCTAAACAAGGATAAGGTGTTTGCTAATAGGGAAGTACCCACCACTTCCTTCCAGTACACCAGATTGACTAAACTCAGCTGAAATTTTGTAAACACGCCTTCATCAGTGCACGTCCATGCATCAGCGGTGGGAACACAGAAGAACACTTCAGAAGCCTGAGGCCCATCGAGACAATGCAGTACGCTACTAGTTAGTGCTCACTTTTTGGTCCAGATCTCTACTTTTGAGATAGATAACTTACCTCACCTCCTGTGTTCAGGTCTTGTCTGCCCGCTCCGCCTGCCTCGGTCCAACTGCCTCCTAACCACTCAACTAACCTGCTTCAATAAATCCAGCCTTGGGTTCTGTCGTGACCCAAGGCTGTCGTGTTTTTTTCTAGATAGAGAAAAACAAAGGAAGGTTGCTCAGCCATCATAACCTTCCTTTGGTTTAGACTAATCCCTGAACGACTGGGAGCTTACACAAACTCATATAAAAAATGTCAAAAGTTATGAAAACTACAAATGTACATACACAGAGTATTCACGTTTCCAAACGAAAAGTTGTCAAATGGACTGCTCTGGGAGTTCTAGAGTTAACCTGAGACAGAACATCCAGTTGGTGTTGTCGCAGACTCTTGATCTTCTGGATCACAACAGACTCTGGTCCTGACACTCTGTGATTGAAGAGGCCATTAAAAAAGAATGCTAATCCTTCATCACTGTTGCAACGGATTATTAGGTCTGAGAACACCATCGGAGATTCAGCCCGTGCGCTAATGAATCACTGAGAATGCTAAATTAATATCATAATTGATGTTTTGTGTGGGAACGTTTATGAATCCTAAAAGAGACTCGGATTTGAAGAGGAAAAAGGATTTCAACTGTTCCTGTATGTGTCAAATCAAAAGGAAGAAGCAAAACAAATCCAACAGTTTCATGAAATAGTATAAGGACTATTGAAACTGTGTGTGCATCACTAGGAGCAGGTGTTTGTCCCTCAGCCTCTCCTACATTAGACTAAGTAAGTTTAATTGTACAGCACAGTTCATACGCAAGGCTTAACCAAACAAATAGAAACAATCACACAAGGCATTCAAAAGGAATAATCAGAGTACAGTAAGAGTAAAGATTCTATCCTTGAAATCTTTTCAACCTGGATTTGAACTTTGTCAGAGTAGAAGTTTCACATCTTCAGGAAAAATGTGAGCCAGGTCATAGTAATGTCCTTTCCCTATGGAGTCACGGCTTTGTGGAGATGGAAGCCTTCTGCACAATTTCTGAGAGGTGCCGTTTGTAACTTTAAAATTAAATTCTGAAAATCTTATACAAACCAAAGCAGATATTGCTGTCCACAGAACCCATTCCGTCGCTTCTCGTGAAAGAATGGGTGATCACTTTCGGGGGCATTCACACTGTAGTGGGGGGGGGGTCCCTGAATTTCTTTTCACACACATTTGCATGCACACAGTTCAGTGTTAGAAGCCAGTCTGAGCTAGTTCAGAGACTTCACTGAGCTGAGTGTTACAGGTTCATCACTAAAAAACTGCGTCTGACCTTGAGTTCAATTAGACCAAATATGCCTCGGCTGCACTTCTTTTTGGGTCTTTCCCGGTTTCCAGAAGTAGAGAGATGATGTCCTGCTGTCATCCAACTTCTGTCAAATGGAAATGGGTCCGTTTATGTCCTCAAACAGGAGGTCATGTCCTCAAACAGGAGTTTATGTCCTCAAACAGGAGGTTATGTCCTCAAACAGGAGTTTATGTCCTCAAACAGGAGGTTATGTCCTCAAACAGGAGGTTATGTGCTCAAACAGATGATAGACCGAAAATACACAGGCATATTCCAGTTTGCAGTCATGCAGTTTACTATAATCTTCACAGAGATATTCCGTGGCCCTTTCAAAAGAGATACATAAAGTACACAGTGGAGAACAGTCTAGTTCAGCACAGGACTTAATAACAGCTTATTTTCCGTTTGAGAATCAGCTTGCGATCTTGTCTCCTCTTTCTTGTTACACAGGCGTAGGAGCACATAGATACATGTGCACTTTGATTGCCCTTTGTGTCTCCGCCTGAGATCTTGGAGATTTG